AAGAAAGAATTCATACCCCTGATCGAAAGCCTGCAAGAGAAGGAAGTCAGGATTGCCTGCTACAACAGTCCCTCCAGCTTGACCATTTCCGGCGATGAACCTGCCTTGGCCGAACTGGAAAAGATATGCGAGAAGAGGCAGCTTTTCAACAGGCGGTTGGTTGTTGACGTCGCCTACCATTCCCACCATATGAACTTGGTCGCCAAAGATTACCGTGCTTCCATCGCCGGACTTCCACCGCCAGCACGAAGTGACGTGCAGTTCCACTCTTCCCTGTACGGCCATCTTGTTGAAGGTACCGAGTTGCAGCCTAACTACTGGGTCGACAACTTGACTTGCCCTGTACGTTTCAGTGAAGCGTTGCAGAGCATGCTTGCGCCGGTCGGCGAGCACAAGCACGGCGTCAACATGCTCGTCGAACTCGGGCCCCATTCCGGGTTGCAAGGACCTATCAAGCAAGTGCTCAAAGAAGTTGGGGGAAGCGCAGCAAAGATGCCCTATGCTTCTGTCCTCGTCAGAAAACGAGACGCCGTCGAGACAGCTCTAGAGCTTGCCGCACAACTGTTCACAAAAGGGGCAAACCTCGACTTTGCTGCCGTCAACTTCCCCAAGCCAACTAAACCACCGGCGCTACTCACAGACCTACCACGATACCCGTGGAATCATTCTACCAAATATTGGCAAGAGTCTCGAATGACTGAAATGCACAAGAACGCGGTCGGCTCAAGGAACGATATCATCGGCACCTTGGCCAATTACTCGAGCGATCTAGAACCCATATGGCGCAACATTGTTCGCCTGGACGACCTGCCATGGTTACGCCATCACAGGATTCAGTCCTTGATCATGTTTCCCATGTCCGGATTTCTTGCTATGGCTATGGAAGCCGCCTCGCAGAGAGCGAAAAGCAAACAGTTGCCATTCGATAGGTATCAGCTTAGGGATGCTGTTATAACAAAGCCCCTAGTGATACCAGACAACGAGATTGAGGTTACAATTAGTCTCCGTCCGCACCAAGAGAGCACCTTTGTTCCGTCCGAGACATGGAACGAATTCCGGATTTGCTCGTGGTCTTCTAGCCAGGGCTGGATAGAGCATTGCGTCGGTCTGATCGCAACGGTGAAAGATACCGACAATGGTGTCGCTCAAGGCATACAGACCGTCAATGGCTTTGCAGAGCAATTGCATTCCGTGACCACTACGGTGAACACCTCACGATGGGCTTCAGTCAATTCTGAGCACATGTACAAAACCCTCAACAAACTTGAAGTCGTGTACGGCCCTACTTTCCAAGGACTTGGCAACATCAACGCATGCGATACACAGTCTACAGGGGATCTTGTGGCTCCAGATGTTTCGAAGGAGATGCCCGGTGGTTACTTGACCGAAGCCGTAATACAGCCTGCATTCCTCGAGTCGCTCATTGCCATGTACTGGCCAATCCTTGGGGCTGGACGCCGACAAGTGGACACAATCTACCTACCTTCCTCAGTCGACTACATGAGCATATCTTCAAGTATAACCCAACTGGGAAATAAGCCTGGAAATATCCTGCGCGCCATCTGCAACAGTGAGGTCTCTTATGGCATTCATCGGCCATTCAAGGTTCACATGATTGCGGCCCCTGTGGGTTCTCTGGAATCCATAATTTCGATTGATGGCCTGACAGTCTCTCCAGTCCTGAACGGAGGAACTCTAGAGGAAAGTATCGCTCCTCGTGACCTCTGCTACAAACTGGAGTGGGAACGCGTCTTGGAGGCCGAGCATATGGACAACCAGCTTCCTGTCGGCGCCCAACTTGTCATCATCCATGAGGATTCCAACTTCCAGCAACTTGTTGGTTTGGGTTTAGCGAACGCGCTTGAACAAGTCACGGGGAGGCTACCGGAGGTCGGTCAGCTCGATACAGTTGATCCGAAAGGAAAGATTTGCATCTTCCTGAATGAGCTGCATAAACCTTTCCTGGCCACTCTTTCTCCATCACAGTTCTCTAGCTTGCAAAAGCTTTTGACTGGGGTTGAAGCCATGCTATGGGTAGTCAAGGGAGCCTACGACAAGTGCACTGAACCAGAGGCGAACATGATCACTGGTCTTAGCAGAACCATCCGTTCAGAAACTGCACTACGATTTGCCACATTAGATCTCGATGCGTCCTCGCCTCTTTCAGAAGCTAGGGCCGCAGATGTGATCTTCAGCGTCGTCAAGATTGCTTTTGGGTCTGCTTCGTCGTCAATGAGTGAGCTGGAGTTTATGGAGAGAAAAGGAATGCTTTTCACTCCACGGATTACTCATGACAGAGAGACAGACGAAGAAGTGCACAACTTGACAAATCCGAGAGCCTTGGAACCCAGCACTTTTGGTGAAAACGGCCGGCTTCTGAAACTTGAGATATCCGCCCCTGGTGCTTTGGACACACTTCACTTTGTGGACGATCATACGCTGGAAACGCCGCTGGGAACCGATCAAATTGAGATTGAGGTCAAGGCTGTCGGTATAAACTTTCGGGACACCATGGCTGCGAAGGGTCAAATTCCCATCAACATGTCGGGAGCTGAAGCAAGCGGGATTGTTGTGGCTGTTGGGAGCAGTGTTTGCACTTTCAAGGTTGGCGATCGCGTGGCAGTGCTCACAGAAGGCGCTTTTGCCACGAGGACAAGGGCTACTGCCAGCCTGTCGTTCAAGGTTCCAGACCACATCTCCTTTGAAGCAGCTGCCACGTTGCCCCTTGGATATTGCGTTGCATATCACAGCCTTATTGATGTCGGCCGTTTGACCGAAGGGGAGACAATTCTCGTTCACCAGGCAGCTGGAGCCGTCGGTCAAGCAGCCATATGCCTGGCTCAGATGATTGGAGCTGAAGTCTTTGCAACGGTTGGGAGTGCTGAGAAGAAGGAATTGCTCGTCAAGGAGTTTGGTCTACCTTCCAATCATGTCCTCTACAGTCGTGATATTGCTTTTGGGTCGACTATTCGCTGTGCTACATCTGGCAAGGGGGTAGACCTGATCCTCAATTCCTTAGTCGGCGATGGTCTGCGGGAGTCTTGGGAGTCTCTCAGCAAATTCGGGCGGCTCGTTGATATAGGCAGGCGCGACTCTGCCTCCAAGCCTCGGATTGAAGTATCCACGGCCAACAGGACCGCCAGTTTTATTTCGGTTGATATTTTCACACTGCTGTCGGAGAGGCCAAGGGTTCTCAAACGCGTGTTTGCCGATGTTGCCGGACTGTTGAGATATGGAAAGATCCGGCCGGCAAGCCCGCTAGCTGTCTTCCCCGTCTCCGATGTTGAAGGTGCCTTGAAGGTGCAACAAGGCGGCGCTACTATCGGCAAGGTGGTCGTGACTCTAGGAAAGTCTGACGTTGTCAAGGTATGTGTATCAGAAGCCACACTGCACCCCCTTTGATCTCCACTAACTCTGTCACAGGCCCCTCCGTCACGCCGGTCAGAGGACCTTCTTCATTCTCAAGCGACGTATATTTTGGTTGGAGGTACAGGTGGCCTCGGAAGGAGTATTGCTCGATGGATGGCAGGAAAGGGTGCGAAGCACATTGTTCTTGTCTCAAGAAGCGGCTCTGTCACCGGAAAGGTTAAAGAACTTGTCGAAGACCTCTCCGTTCTGGGAGTGAGTGTTCATGTCCGCCGGTGCAATGTCGTCAACAGAACCGAGGTGGACGAGCTCGTCCAAACTGGGCTGCGGGGACTGCCCCCTATAAGGGGTATAGTGCACGGAACGATGGTGTTACGCGTAAGTCTTCTGAACACTTTGTTTTCCATTCGGCTGCTAGCAGTGACGGCTAACGTTTCTTTGCAGGACGTTCTCTTCGAGAAAATGACATGGACTGATTATACCGAGGTCATCGAGGGCAAGGTTCAAGGAGGCTGGAACTTTCACCACGCATTGTCATCTTCACCACTCGACTTCTTCGTGGCCATTTCTTCCGCAGCCGGCGCCGTGGGGAACCGTGGGCAAGCGGCATACAGTGCCGCAAACTGCTTTCTGAATGCTTTGGTGCAGTATCGGCTTGCACGAGGACTTCCTGCATCGTCCCTTGACCTCACCGCAGTTTCCGACTCCGGCTATCTAGCTGAAGATCTCGAAAAGGCTGCGGAAGTGGCCAGGAACCTTGGGAGCGATACCATTTGCGAGGCCGAAGTACTAGCCCTGCTGCATGCCGCCATTAGGGGGAGGCTAGCATCGACCTGCAACAACCACACGATTACCGGCATGCGTATTACCTCAACTATGCGGCCATTCTGGACCGAAGATGCAAAATTCAAGGCCATGCGCATAGCAGCGGAAGAGGAGGCGGCAAAGAACGCATCATTGAACACGGTTGTGTCCTTCAATGCGGCGTTGAAGGGCGCCAAGTCACCCACGGAAGCGGAGGACGTCGTGTGCAAAGGATTGGTAGAGAAGATCTCTTCCGTGTTGATGCTTGAAGCAGAGGACATGGATATTTCACGATCTCTCTCCCACTATCCCCTTGATTCTTTGGTCGCCATCGAAATCCGCAACTTCATTACCCGCGAGTTTGAAGCCAATCTTCAGGTGCTGGAACTCCTCTCAAGCGGCTCAATCCAAACGCTGGCAAAGGCGGTGTGTGCAAAGACGAAGATCAACTCATTCAAAGGGTAGGGACTATGGAGTTGATTTCTATTTACTTATTTTCCTTTCGGGTCTTTCTTTATCCGGTTGTAAGCAAATTGAATAGGCATTTATTAGTTTGTAGTTAAAGAAGGCATAAAATGTCTGTATTAAGATAGGGAAGATATAACACTAATATTAAATTCCCGGCTATTAATATAAGTGTTATTGAATAATTTTTAAGCTTTAACTAAATTAAGGGTAATTATAAGCAATTATATAAAGACTTAAAATAAAGTCGAAAAGATATATATAATACAACAGGAATAAAGATTATAAATTATAGTAGCAAACGTGCAAGTAAGTGCTATAGTACCTTAATATTTACATTCGAGACTTAAATACAAAAAAAAAGCTGCTCGAGGCGGGACTTGAACCCGCGACCTTTGCATAACAAGTATCCTAGAATACGAGTATAAGAGCAACACGCTAACCACTGCGTCACCCGAGCTCGAAAGGTTGTAACGAAACGATGGGTTTCTCACTTATAAAGGGTGAAATAACGTATCTATATAGTCGTTTATTAAATAACTTCTTTACGACATTATTATGGAAAGACTCTATTGAAGAGGAAAAGGGAGGAAGGGAAGCGCCCTCTAGGCGGTATTGGCTAGCTATTATTTTGAGGACCGGGTACGGATTACCCGTTTACCGTGCCGGTAAACCGATAATTAGCGGTATAATTAGCAATACAATTAATAGTATTAATTAAATTTAATTACGGGCATTAATCCTATAATATTAACCCCTTCCTATTCCCCCTAATCAAAATATTATATATAAATAGGTGCGAAGTTACGTAGACCTTAAATATTAAACGATAAATTATTAATGTAAATTTCTAATATATATACCCTACGCCTTTCTTTCCTTTTCTTTCCCTTTCCTCTTTCCTTTTTTAACCTATCGAATAATTAAAATTATAGATATTGACTTAAACGGGCGCTCTCACTAAAGTTTGCTAACGAATTTCTATTAATTTCGTTAATTTTATTATTATTATTGTTATTCTTTTCTTAACGTATTATTAACCGTTAATTAATCGCCGTTATATTACGGGTAAACAAGGCCAAGTAGGTAGTAGGTAGGATATACGATATTACCCAAAGAAGGAAAAGAGGAAAGGGAGCGAAGTTATATACGGGTGGCTACCCTTATAAGGGTACGGCGTATAAATTATACGCGCGTAGGGCGCGCGTGGTTATATAACTGGGACCGCGACCGTATCGTTGTACGACCGCGGCGGCGGACTAGCCAAATAAGGTTATAATTATTTTAATAGTAATTACAACCTTAATACAAATACATAATTAAATTACGTATAATTACCAAATTAAGCTTATAATATTACCCTTAATTAAAAGAAATTATATAATTAATTATTATTATATAAAATAATAAAAAATTCTTATTAAATACGTCGTTATATTGCGAAAAGTCTTTATAGCCGCTATTATTTATAAACGTAGCGACCTCCTCCTCCTTTATTACTCCTTAGCTAAAGCTTCCGTAATTTCCGTCGGCGTATCCTCTTCTTCCGACGGCGTTTCTAATTTTTCTTTTATCTTCCGTACTTCCTCCTTAACTTTCTTCCTTTCGGTTTTAGCCTATTTAAATAGTATTAGGGCGTTAGGATACTTTTTTTAGAATTTTTTTAATTTTCTTTGGGTAAATTATTACATTAATATATAGTTATTAATTAAGTTTGTAAAGGGGAATTTAAATAACGTAATATATTTAATAACTTTTCTCTTTCTTATATTTATCGATTTTTACGAAATCTTATTCGAAAGAGTCCTCGCCGTTATCGGTATAATATATAATCCTCCTTATATTAGCGTAAATATCCTACTATTATTATATTTAATTTAATAAACCCGTTAATCATTCAAATTTAATTTTATTTACGTTAAAAGTCCGTTTATATTTTATATTAACCGGTAATTTAAGGATAATAAAATAAGTATTAACTTTAACGATCGGGAAAGGTCCTTTGAAAAATAGGGTAAATTTAATATATAAGCAATTGGTTTTGAAATTTGAAGTATTAAAGAGGATTATTATAAGGGTATCGCTAAGAAAGCTTAGGGGGACCCGTATAACTAGGGCACAACGGCCTAGGACAACGGATAAAATAGTTAATAAAATAGGGATAAGTAAGTAAGATTCTTATTCCCTAGCTATATTTATAGCGCCAATATAATATAGGGTCCATCTCCGATTCCCCGTAGGATAAAACCGTAGGCGTTAAGCGCCCCGGATAAAAACCCCAGCTATATTTCCCGGCGCGGACCTATCCGCGCCGCTTCTTCGGCGTTCTACAATCGCGGTGCACACCCACCGCCAACGCGATTAATATCCGTCTTATCCCTTTTATTTACCGTTGCGCTAGAATATTAGACCGCTCTCCCCTCGTCCTCGTTCCAACGCATTAGTAAATAAAAGTAAAAGAAAAGGAAGAAAAGAAAAATTAGGAATAGCGAGCGAGTTCGTTTCGCCGCTCCTCTTTTAATTCGATTATTAGGCGGTATTTATTTAATCGTTTTAACCGAAGTATTTATAATAGGATTTTTTTGGTTTTAATTTTATTATTTAAATAAATTTGGAATTATTTTTACGTTTATAGCCAATCGGTTATTACGAATTACGTATTTACTATCCGGAGATATTCGAACGTAATATAGTAAAATATTTTTCGTTTTAATTTATATAAATAAATAGGGGTATTAATATTAGGGATTTTCCTTTAAAAAAGGAAAGTTTTAAGGCCGATTATTTCCGTTTTCGTTTAAACGAGGAGGGAGTTTTTCGTTTTCGTTAATAGATAATAATCTTTATTATTTTCCGAAGGTTAGGTTCTCTTCCGCTTTTTCTTTTTTTAACCGATTATATACCGTTTTATTACGGTATTATTAAATTTCGGGTCGAAATTAATAATTATAAATTTATACCGCCGATTTAATTTTAATTACTATTATTATTAATTAATAATTATAATATAATATTTATTTTTTTTTATAGCGTCTTTTAATTATACTTTTCGATTGAAGGTTAAAGGTTTTAATAATTATAATAGTTAAGTGGGTATATCCGTTATTAGGGGCGGTCCCGCTATAATTATTATAAAATTCTCCGTTAATATTTATTTTTCCGTTTATTTAATTTTAGTAGTACTATTTTCCGGTTTATTAATAAGTAGTCGATTTTTTATTCGTTTTATTTAAATATAATTAATTATTTAAGTTACTATTCTTTAAACGAATCTAATTTAATCCGTATAGGCGAGCTTCTTTTCGAAAGCCCTTACCCGTTTATTAAGGTAGAGGTCGAATAGTAGGTAAAAAATTTCCGTTTTAAGGTTTTATATTAGCGTAACCTTATACGCCTTAGCGACGATTTTTAAATATTTAATTTAATATTTAATTAATCCGATTATTATCCTTCGGAGTTTATTATATATTTTTATTAGTTAATAAAAGGTTAAAGTTTTATATATAATTATATTTCGAATATATTTAATATAAATCTCCTTCGCGTAAACGAAGGAGTAATTCTAAATTTTTATAGCTAATTGAATTAATATATTCGTTTAAATTTTTATTTTTTTTTTATTAATTTCCGTATAAATTCGATAATTGAATTTATAATTTAATTAGACGCTTAAAAATTTTATCGATTCTATTAATCGAAATATAATATCTTTAAATTAGAAAATTTCCGTTCTTAATACCTTTATCCGCGTAAAATATATTAATTCCGTTTTATTCGCTTCGAATTCTATACTTTTCTCCCTTACTTATTCGGAATAAATTTCCTATACCGTTTAAAATATTTTATAATTCTTTTTAATAATCTTTATTATAATAACGATATTAATATTATTAACGAAGCCGATTGTAATTATATTTTTAATTATAATTAATTTATAGTATAATAAAGTAAACAAGAAAATGAAAAAAATTAGGGAGAAGGGGGAATTTTAGGGTATTCTGGCTTCTATAGCGTAGGGAATAAATATTTCGTCGTTAAAGAAGAGGGAACCTTTTCGTCCATTAACAAAATTCGCTACCTATTCGAAAATTTATCGTGGGAATTATATTTCTTATAAGGTATATAATAATTATTTATAATTAATTTTATTAAATACGCTTTTGAAATTAAAGAATATTAGCGACGTAACGGCTCCGAATTTCTAAATTATATATATAATATTTATAATAATATAAATAGTAAATTCGGTCGAACGGTTTGCCCGATTACCTATTTAGCCCTTTAGTAGGAGGTTAAATTCTTTTACGGTTTAAGTAAACCTTTTAGCGATAAACGCTTCGAGGATTTTCTTAACGTTATTTAATAATAAAATTAACCTTTATACGCCGATTAACTTTTATTATACGGTAATTTTTTTTAATTTTTTAAAAACGATTACTTCTATATTCTTAAACCGTTATAAGAAATATTTAAAACGAAAATTCGTAGCCGCGAAAGCGGTTATAACTTTTTAAAATAATTTTTTATAAATTTTTAAAAATTTATTCGAATATTAATTAACGCCCGGTATTTTATTCGGAATTATCCGGGATAAAATATCCTAAATATCCTCCTCGGTAATTAATCCGTTAATAAGTAATAAATTGCCGGTATTTAAAGGAAGGGTTTAATTAGGTAAATAATTTGTAAGGATATTTATTTTCGGGAAGAAATATTCGGTAAAAATATTTACTTTATTATTATAATTTTCGATTTCTTTTACTCCTTCGTATTATTTAAAAATTAGGAATTTAGGCGGGTCTATTAATAAATAACTTTAAATATAAACTTATTTTTCGAAGGTTTAAAATTTATTTGAATTTTTTAACGCCTTTTTAACGCCTTTTCGCTATATCGTTTATTAAATTTTTACGTTAATCCTTCTTTTTTTTATCGATATTTTTATAAATTCTATTTAATTCGAAAATATCTTTTCTTTATATTATTTTTATTATTTCCGTTTCGTATTTTTTATTACTATTTTATATTTTAATATTTATTATTTCGCTCTTCTCCTTCGATTTTTCTTCCAGTATAGGATAAATTCCTCTATTATATTTACGAATTTTCTATCGAATTTATCGAATATAAATTTTAATTTCTCCTTCGTATCGATTTTCGCCGGGATCGAAATCTATTATAACGCCGCCTTTCGTACTTTTTCCGCTTTTATTAAATTCTAATTATAATTTTCTTTTATTTTTACTTTTTTAACCTTTCTTTTAATATAGATTTAAATTTCTTAAAAATAATAGTCCGAATTAATTTATTCGTACCGTTACGCCCTTTAGTATTTAATTTCGATTTTTAATATTATTTATACGTAATTAATTATTTTATTTTTCTTTTCCTATATTACGTTATTTATACGGGTCGGCTCCCCTCTAAGGGTAATAAATTATATACATTACTATTTTATTT